CCGCTCGCCGCAGACACCATCGACAGCTCCTCCGGCGTCGTCTTCCCCTACTACGACTACGACACTAACATGGTCAGTGCTACACACATTCAAAAATTATCTAAAATGTCCGGGAAACACCTGTACGACGATTTGGCCCAACTTACCTCTATCCAAAGTTGCTTCGTTTGGGCGCTAGAGTGCTCAGGCGAATAATCAGCAAACTTTAGAGCTATACTAATATTATAAAGAGGAAAGATTTATATTTTTGTATGTATTGAAATAACACAAAAACTGCTGGGCCGATTTTCAAAATTCTTCCACCGTTAGAATGGTTATTTATCTGTGAGTAACATGGGTCATGTTAAAGATTGGAGGCGGGGTAAATGGAAAACGATCGATTGCGAAGTGAAAAAATATATTTTTTTTTTTTTACATATTTATAAATTTTCATGTATCAAAAAAAGAAGTCAAAAGTAAAAATATAAAAAGCGTTCGATATCTTAAAAGTTGTAAACGAGGTTTTAAGTTACAACCTCGTTTCTTAACAGGTTTTGTAATTTCACGCAGGTGAAGTCGCGAGCAACAGCTAGTTATTTTATAACTTGCTTATTTCTGTACTTAACTAATTATTCTTTAACATGAAGTTAAATTAGAAAATTCTCTTTGTGCCAAAACCGTTCACCAAATTAATTTTTAAACAGAAATCCGCGTAGATGTATAGATAACTCCGAAATGGTGTACTATATATTATTACTTAGGCCCATCTATTTCATACCTATTTTGCTATGTTTGTACAAAAATATGTCATCCGCCAGTGATAGTGGCCATTTTGTATTTTAGGACACTTTAATTCTTAGCCCTTTAACTTAATTCTCACGTTATAGGAATTGAGTTGAAAGAGATTTGTCATAGCAATTAGGCCGCTCTTACGCAAATCTTGTAATAGCTTCGTTTTAGTATACTTATTGTGTTTGTGTAAAAAATATTAAATAAATAAATATTTGTAGGTGTACCTGGCGGGCAAGGGCGACGGCAACATCAGGTACTACGAGGTGGTGGATCAGGTGCCTTACGTGCACTTCCTCAACCAGTTCCTCTCTGGAAACCCACAGGTAGTAAACAATAACTAAATTTGATTTTTTTTTGTTAATGGACTTCAGATTAGTTTTGCTGCAAATTTTTTAATAATAAAGATTATAAAGGATGGGAATTTAGGAGTTTAGAAGATTAAGAAAAGAAAGGAATAATGCGGATATATTGTAACTGTGACAAATGTAATTGATTCTGTAGTTTGTTAAATAAAACTACTTGATAATGGAAAATAAACGTTTATTACAAATATATACTTACAATTAAGTTTTGTGAGCGCCTTACGTCAACAATTAGCAAAAAAGATAAGTCAGTAGGAGCGTTCCCAGGTAAATTATGAAAATTTCTCCGCTATGGATTCCAAGTGATTTTATATTGTGCTTATATTCTAATAGTTTGTTATGTTTACGTGTGTTGCAGCGCGGGCTGGGCTTCATGCCGAAGCGCGGCGTGAGCACGGCGGCGTGCGAGGTGTTCCGCTTCTACAAGCTGCACACCTCGCGCGGCCTCTGCGAGCCCATCTCCATGATAGTGCCGCGCAAGTCCGACTGCTTCCAGGTCCTCGCACAACTGACAACATGAACACAATTCATATTGACTTCATTCCACCTTGATTTCTAGCAAAAACAGACAAAACGAACACGCTGAAATAGTAATCTATATACTCTAAACACACACTACTTTGTGGCGTAACATGTCAGCAATTACAGCATATTTTTAAATATTTTTTTCTTTAATAAAAAGCCCTACACTGACTTTACGCTTTAGGCTATACATTTTGACGCTATTAAACTTAGGAGGTAAATTAATTGGATTAAAAAACCTAATGAGGGAAAGGGACCATAAACTGCTGCCAACATCAAGGAAGTAAGAGAGCAATGATTTTTTATCATGTTATGTCATTTTGACATTTAGATTTGTGAATTTGTAAAATTTGAACAATAAAATAAAATTTTCATAATTTTACGCGGATGCGCACGGGTACAGCTATACCAGATAAAGTCAGGACGCCTAGACAAAGTGACTTACGATGAACGATATCGTTAGAATGGATAAAATGTATCAAACATGCAGAAATAAAAACGAGGAAAGCACGTGAATACTAATCTTATGTTGCCTACTAAAAATGTCTTTATATTTCACAAATATCACTTTTATTTCTGTGTTGTAAGTTGTAAAAAGTATTTATATATTGCAGGAGGACCTGTACCCGGACACGGCGGCGCCGCTGGCCGCGCTCACCGCCAAGGACTGGCTCAGCGGCATGAACGCGCCGCCGCTACTCATCTCTATGAAAACTGGTCAATATGTATTTTATTTATACACGCTTTAATCTGATGGCAGTCAATTTTATGTGTTTTTCGAAATAACACGACTAAACTCATCTATCTACTACATTTTGTTTATAAGTAATTAGCCGTGGGTCGCCACTTCGATCAAATGAAATTTTAAAATGTAGTCTATGTTATTCAACGTAGCTTTCTAATGGTTAGAGAATTTCAAAACAACCCAGTAGTTTTTGAGTTATAGTCAATACGTACATAAATACAAATCTTTCCTCATTATAATATTAGTATACACTAGCCATTGCT